CTATAAATATATATTTTTATAAATTAAATATCAAATTTTAAAATAAAATAAGAGATATTAATATTTAAAACTATTATATTTTTATAAATTAAAAATAAGTTTAAAATAATAATTTTTAATCCCTTAACTTTTAATATATACATATTTTTTGTCCATCCATTTTAAATTAAAGGATTAAAAATATATGTATTTAAAAAAATTTAATGGAGTAATTAATAGAAGGACTAAAAAAAATATGAAGAATGGATTAAAAAAATATATAAAAAAATAAAGGATAAAAATTATATAAAATATCAAAATTAAGGACAAAAATGAAATTTACCCTTTTAAAATTTGAATTGATTTGAATTGTAGCGGGCAACTGAAAAAATGGAAGATAAGACATCTGGACGCGAGAATAAAGGAGGATTGCGCGATCAAAATTGCAAGGCTGGCCAAAACGACGCTGTTTTGGCTAAGAAATTTTTTTTTTTTTTTAATTCTTGCATATTGTACCGGTTAAATTTCGGTGTACCGGTCGGTATGTCGAAATTTTGATCGGTACACCGAAATTTGACCAAAATCATCGAATTTTGACCGAAACGAAATTCATTCTTATTTCGTTTCGGTCTACTCTCAAAACCGATATGTACCGACCGTACCAACCAGTACGAAACGATATTTACTTCTTTGATCTAAACTCTTGGATCCCAAGAACACCAGACTACGTAATCCCTCACCCTCCCAAGAAAACCCCCTTGTTTTCCCCTGTCACTACAGCCTTTTTCCTCTAAACCAACACCATAACCAGCAACACCATTTCAATTTCTTCACTGTAGAGATCCACATTTCTAGAATGTTGAGGTGAAGGGATTTGAGATTAACAAACCTCGAATGACAAGGGATTTATTATGTAATTGAAAACAGGAAAAGTAATCTTGAATTTTTTGGGTTTCAAATGATTTGTCTTCCCATCTTTCTACCTGTACTTGCTATGTACTTCTAAATGTTTGGTTGAATCCCTCTTTTATTTTGTAGATTGGCAAAATCAAGCTAGATCTGCCACTAAGATTTGAAAAAAAAAAAATCAGGGATTTTTCTTATTATTCTTGTGTTGGATGTGCAATGGTGGGTGTGAATATGAATGATAGCGAATGATTTATGAGATTAGTTCATAAATAGGGTTTAATTATCTTTGCATCTATGTGCTTTGTATTTTTTATTGTTATTTAATCTCAACAAATTTTAAAGTGCTAGTCTTAATCCCATGGAAGGTCATATCTCGGGATTGGCTTCGTTTGAGGAGCTAAAGGGGGGGCTTGTAGAGGCAGCGAAGGAGGCAAAAGGTTGAGAGAACAGAAAGGAGGGAGAAGATGAAGTATATAATTTATAAAATGAATGTGCCTTTTTATTTGTCCATGTAAAATTAAAAATGTCTATGCATAAATGAAAAGAAAAAATGTTACATCATTATTTGTCTTTTTTTTTTTTTTCACATCATTATCTTTTAAAAAAGATGTGATTTTTCGCTGTTTAACATGGCAACTATCAATTTCATCAATAGAATGATTAAATGGGTTTTAAAAATTAAAATTTAAGGATATTTTTAATATTTTTTTAAGTAAAAAAAAATTAAGATGTTTTAATATTAAAAATATTACAT